CTTCCTTTGATTCAGGGGAAAAATACGATATTATACTCGTAGACGCTTGCAGCACGCGAGATGCCTTATGTCCGCTAGAAGAAGTGTTCAATGTGGAAGGCGCTAAAATATTCTCTTCTATACTAAATGATCGAGGTTTGCCTTAGCATTACTGCACTTAATGTGCCTCAATCACTATTTACAACAACAAATATCTAGGAGCTCTAATTGTTTACACCATGACAGATGATCTAACGAATTGGGCAACAAGGTAAGATTACACAACACAAAGTAATAGTCTTACTTAGCTCTTTTGAGACCAGAATGTAAGGATTATCTAGCGATAGCAAAGAGCAGCAGTTCGGAAGATTGCAAATGCAACAGATACTCATCGAAATTTCAGTATTTTGATGAAATGTGCTTACCACTCAGCGGTTAGAAAAATTATGAGGAAATAGCTATCCACTTAGGCTCTTCAATGTATTTCTCATTATATCTTCCATACTAACTTGGAAACTTGTAAAAATCTCTTTTCTGCAGAGAACTATCATCATGAGTCCTGAGAAAAAGAACATTGATTATAAGAGGAGAAAGAAAGGACTGCTTGCAAATAACATTGGATATTACTAGAATTTCAGCTGAAGTCCTAATACGACGACGTTTTTAAGCACTGCACGCTCAGACTATCTGTCAAGTAATTTAGTAAGTTCATATAGCTTTTGAAGGTTGAAATCTTATCCAAATTTTTTTAAAATTCTAGAAGCATTCGAAAAGATTTGAATCAAATTCATACTTCATTTCGAAATTTTCCGAAGCTCAAAACGACGTCCCAAGTTCAAAAACAAATGTTATTTCTTAGGTCAACCTGCACCAACCCAAGACCACAAGGATTAGAAGACAAGTATGCAACATTGATAAAATATTCAGCTGCGGGAAAGGAAGCAGCGCCTATGATTGAACTTCTATGAAAAAGAAGATTTATTCATTAGTTTTCGCGCATGAAGTTTTGCATACTATTGCATACAGAATAAATTTT